GCCTCTCTCCAGCTGACTCAGTCCACATGAGCCCCAGGTGGAAAGGGGGACCGCACCCCAAATCCTGATGTTGCTGAGCGTTCCCCTGCCCATCCCTGCGGCCCCGGGAAGGCATCAGGGCCCCACAGTGGTGGCTGCAGAGACAGGTTCCACACTGGACCCGGGGAGCCGGGCTCCCTGTTCCCCTTAAGTGACACGGAAACGATCTCCCTGCTACCAAGGCCTCTCCTCTCCGTCACTATCATCCAGTGTCGGAGACCAAGCTGTCAGGACAGAAACAATGTCCAAAGGAGAGCTAGAGGGAGTGATGGTTCCTTAGAAACACCCCGTAAACGCCCTTCCATCGGCCGCCACAGGTCAACGCCCGACCCCATGGGAATCCACATCACCTGGGCTGAGTCCACAGCACACACGGACCTGGGGTTCACGCCTGCCCGTCCTCCTTTGAAATCCCCCACAAAACCCACCAAATATTAAACACTAAACCACCAAGTGGTCTTCAAATCCACAACGTGATATTGAAGAACAAAGCAGTACAGTCCCCAGTGCGGAGGGAAAAGAGTGGCAACACCTGGTTAGAAGTGTGTCCACGTGGATGGAGAGCAGGTGGGGCACCTGCTGAGACATCACCCTGGGGAGTGAGGGCCCGGCATGGGCTGGGGAAACTCCTGTAGAGCGAGCAGGAGTGAGGGTCCCCTCCAGGCTCCTCCCTTTCCAGTCAGCTGGTGGCCAGGGTCAATTCCCGGGAGTGGTCTGCCCACAAGGTGACAAAGCAACCCCTTTAGCGGGATGAACAGAGGGCCCTGCAGTGGGATCAGCTCACCAAAGGGGGCGGAGGATGGTGAGGAAGAGGGTGAGGAGGTGGCCCTGCCCCGCCATTGCTTTATGTCTCATCAGTTCCCAGGTGTAGCGCCCGTGACACTAACCGAGCCTCACCTGGGCCTGGGAGCCCGGCTCCTGCTGGAAGGAGCTGTGGATGGAGGAGAGTCCTTGACGCTCGAGAGCTTCTGCTGGAGGAAGAGGGTCCCTCAGCCCTGAGGGTAAACCAACACTCCTCCTGGCAGAGTCGGTGAGATCGCCTGATATTGGCCTTTGGGGATGAGGCGGTCTGTTCTGTTCGACTGTCACTCACATTTTTCCATTTTGGTGCATAATTGTAATAGCTGACGCTGGCGGCCAGGGACGGTGCCGCCCACTTGTCCTGGATGAACCCACTTGTCCTGACGCACATCTGTGCTGTCCCCTTATTTCCAGACGAGGACACTGAGGCACAGAATAAAACCAGAGCCAAATTCCGACGCCCATCAGCCCTGAGGGTAAACCAACACTCCTCCTGGCAGAGTCGGTGAGATCGCCTGATATTGGCCTTTGGGGATGAGGCGGTCTGTTCTGTTCCACTGTCACTCACATTTTTTCCATTTTGGTGCATAATTGTAATAGCTGACGCTGGCTGCCAGGGACGGTGCCGCCCACTTGTCCTAGATGAACCCACTTGTCCTGACGCACATCTGTGTTGTCCCCTTATTTCCAGATGAGGACACTGAGGCAGAGGGGTCAGCACCTGCTGGGGACCCCACCAGCGGGAAGCTCCAGAGCTGAGCTTGAACCCGGGAGTCTGGCCCTGAAGATGGGCTCTTGCTCTCAACCCACTGAGGGCAACGTCCCACATTTGAAAGAGACCCAAACGGCCTCCAGGTTCTCAACAACGTGGGAAGCTGCTGGTTAGGCTCTGATCTGGGGGGACGAACCTGCAGAATGATACCCGAAGAGTGGACTTTAAATGCTCCAATGTTCCCTCAGGGCAAGGTGTGTGCATGGTGTTCTTAGATCCCTGGTCCTGTTGCTGAGGAAATGTTGGTGATTTCATCCTTAGGGTTTGCCTGCTTCACGTGTGTGGACGTCGGTGTGTTTTTGTTGCTGCTACAGTTCCTGTCGCCAAGGGGCCACTGTTTCTGTTAGGTCCACGGTGACAGGTTTGCAGGGAGGATTGCTGTCCCTGGGCTGATCAGCTACAGCATCAACTTTCACCCATTCTCACTGCGTTTCTCACTGGAGTACCTTAGATTTCTCTGATGTTTGTTTAATTATCTACATACTAGTGGTCTGGTGCATGGAATTCGTGCACAATAAAAGGGTATTAATTAAAGAAAATGCTTTAATGTTGCTATTTGCCTTTTCTCTATAATAGGAGTGTCAGGAATGAAAGAAAATTAGTAAAGTGCATACAAAAATCTCCCTACTGTCAGAATCTGAGGGTCGCCGTGGGACCCAGAGTCAAGTCCACACCCATTCATCATGCCTCAAGATAGTGCGAGACCCAGACCCGGCCGGACCCAACCCCTTCAATCCCTGCAGGGCTGGGGCCCAGCCTCAGGTCCCGTGGTCTGGCCTCAGGTCCCTGGGCCCGGGCTCAGGTCCAGCCGCCTTGGCTGGAAGGCTCAAGGACATGACGACGATTTGCATATTAGCTTTATATTTTATAGGATTATGACCAACTTATTGATTGCTTTTTATATGCTTCCCCACCAAGTTTGAAGGGAATGTTTTCAATAAGTTGAGAGCCTCTGTATTTACTAGTCTTTATTAGACAGCAGCTTTTAGTTCACAGAAAACATGCGCAGAAAATAGCGAGAGCCTGGCCGGGGCAGCTCAGTGGTTGAACATCACTCTGTGCGCTAAAGGGTGGCCAGTTAGATTCTTGGGCAGGTCCTATTGCACCTGTGAACTGACAAGTGAAAGCGTCACCAGGACACGTGGACGTTCATGGATCTGAAGGTGTGGGCATGGCTTTCCACAGGCGCTCGAGCAGGAAGGTGGTGGTGGGAGGGTGGTCCTCCTCTCGGCACTGTTTTCTCGGGGGAGGCAGACACCACGGACTGACTCCCTCCACTGCCCTAAGCAGCCCGGGCACCGCGGGCACCATTTCACCCTGAGGCTGCGGCCCGGCCACACTGAGAGCTCGTTCACTCAGGGTCACTCATCTCCTGCAATGAAGGAGCTGAAGCCCCTCCCGCCTGAGGCGGTGCCGAGGGAGCCGTGCCCGGTGCCAGCAAGTCCCGCTCTGACCAAGTCCCCGGGTGGTGACACTGATGGGTGGCATCAGCCAACCGTGAGGAAGGGTGGCTGGAGGCCAGGCCTTGTGACCTGCCCGTCCCCTGTGGCAGGACGAGTGAGGCTCCCCGGGTACAAATAGCCCTGGGCTCCCAGGCTGCTCAGCCCAGCTCCTCAGCGCTCACGGTTTGCTCAGCTGAACGCTCAGCCGCAGGAACCATGAAGCTGGCCCTGTCTCTGCTGCTGGTCACTCTGGCCCTTTGCTGCTCTGACGGTGAGTGTCACGTCCACTCAGACACCATCAGCCGGGAAGGGCCCTTCTCCGGTCCAGGTGACTGACATGGGGAGGGGGGTGGGTCAGAATAAACCTTTCCCGTGCCCTGTGGACCAGCCCCCAAAGCCCTGCACTCGGGGTGTCCGATCCCGGGGCTCTGGAACTTCTACAGAAACCCCCGCAGGCCAGTGTGGGCGGTCCCGTGGGAGGCCCCACTGCCGCCTGGTCTGTGTCGCAGAAGCAGCAGGACGGAGTCACCTTCTCGTGAGTCAGGGACCTGCCCCTGCAGCGCTGTGGCCTGGAACACAGGCTGCATCTCCCCGGCCTCCCCTCCCTGGATCCCCGCGCCCAGGAGAGAAGCTGGGGCGATGGTGGAGAGGAGGTGGTCCGAGGCCGCCCTGGTCTCACCGCCGTCTCCTCCAGGGTCTCTCAGGTCCCAGGTGAGCCCAAGGCTGCTGGACTCCTAGGTTCAGACTCAGAGAATGTTCCAGCAGGAGAGGGCTCCGTTCCAGAGGAGCAGTGCCGCCTGCGGCTCAGAGTGGCCAGTGTCCACGTGGCTCTGAGACCCAGAGGCGCTCAGGTGCCCCACAGGCCTGCCCCTCCTCAGGGGCCCCACCAGGACGGGCAGGGCCAGTGGGGGCGCTGGGGCCGCCACTGCCCTTTTCCCGGTGAAGGTGCCCAGTGGCCAGCCATGCTGGGCGGGTCCTCACACCCTCGGGGCTGAGCCAAGTCCTTTGGAGTCTCTTCCATCTGACTTCCTGAACCCCATTCTCTCTCCCCACGTGGTCTGTCCTCAGCGTCAGGTGTGACCCTCACAGACTTCCGTGGTGAAGCCTGACCCTCTCCCTCCCATGACATGATCCCAGTGTCAGACGGAGCCTCCAAGGGCATCCCCCGTCCCTTAGCAGCCTTCCTCCCTCCTCTCCGCATGTACTGTCTCCCTCTGGGCCCAGCCAGGACCTGACCCCCCCTTCCCTGGAAAGACCGAGGGCTAACGGCTCCCTCCCCAGTAGCCACGCAAAGGCAGGTGAGGCTCTACTGAGGGGCAAAGCTGAGTCCTTGGAACCCAGGGACAGTGACTGGGGCGAAGCAGGGGATCTGGGGAAGGCCTGGGTGTACTTGGTAAAGGGAAGACTGACCAGGGTGGTCACCTGTGCTCCATCCGGGCTCTGCAGCGTGCCCAGTGAGGACGTGGGGGAGATGCATTGTCGCTGGAGGAGGCCATCTGGCCCCGGGCTTCCTGTCTCGTTCTGGGGTCACAGAGGCGTGGGGGAAAGTGACTTTCCTACATCCAATGTGTTTTTATCTCTGCTGCTCCAGCAAATGCAGAAGTCTGTCCAGTTATTGAAAAAGAAGCGAATAAGTTCATCATGAATAGGAATCTAGGCTTCTTAGGGACCCTTCTGAAGTTGAACGCACCCAGATCCTTCTACCAGGCTGTGTTGGATGTGAAGCATTGCACAAACAGCATCTCCTATTCTGGCAGAAAAAAAATCAACAACGTTGTGGTAACTCCATTCTCCTTCTGCATAGAGGCTGCTGCTCCGCTGCATGGCCAGGCAGGAGGAGGGCGCTGCTCTGGGGGCACAGGTGGGGGTACCGGTCCCTCTGCTCACCTCTGAGAGAGGGCCCGTGGCCAAGGGTAGATGGTGACCGCACACCCGCTGGGCCAGCCTCAGGCTGCACAGCCTCTGCAGGCCCCTCCCTGGGCTCTGGGTTCCCCACGTGTCCTGAGGGGGGACAGCCAGGGCCCAGGCGGTGATGGTGAAGGGCCCGACACTGCTGCCTCCCTGCCTGGGAGCGTTCTGGAGGGCGAGGTCCCTCACTGGGGACAGGAGGCCCTGTCTCTGGGGAATGCCATGGGGAGGGGGGTGCAGGGGGAGGCAGGGGGGCAGGAGGCTCTGTCCCTGGGGAACGCCATGGGGTGGGGGGTGCAGGGGGAGGCAGGGGAGGGAGGGAGCTGGCCCAGTCCCATGATGAGGGATGCAGGCGGGGCTCTGGCAGCTTTTGCACAGCCAGGCCCAGTCCCTGTCCCCTCGCCCCTCTCCCTCCGCAGCCATCAGGCCAGAGGGCAGGGCCGCTCCCAGTCTGTCCTCTGCAGCCACAGGTGGAGCTGACCGCCTCCCTGTCTCTCTGAGGAAATCAGACATTGGGGGGAGGGGGTGTGTCTCTGCTCCTCCTCCCCTGAAACAGGTCAGGCTTTAAGCACCTGTCCCCACGCTCAGGGCCTCAGTGTGGACATGTCAGTGCACCACCAGGTTGCACGTTCCCCCCCGGGGATGCAGATCTCTGCAGGTAGCTCCTCCTGCGGCCTCTCCCTCCACCCCTCCGCCCCGAGTCCACTCTGGAGTGAACAGTCCCGTCCTGGAACCTGGGGCTCAGCGAAAGCATATTTCGGGCTCTTGACCCCCTTGTCCCCCTCCTGCTCCATCAGAAACCCGAGGCCAATCCTGGGTCCTTTGGCACCTGTGTCTGGACGTGGCCATAGGTCCTCCCTGACGTGTCTGCTGCTGGGCCAGCACCGGGACCATTGAATCCCCACCTGCACCCTGTCTGCCCGCCGCCCCGCTGGCCTGTGCTGGTTGCAATGCCTTCTGCCTCTTGGTTGTGAGCACACGCTGTGCCCGTGGCATCTCCAGGAACAGCAGGACTGACAACCCTTTCTCTCTGTGTCTATTTCAGGAGGCTATAGTGGACAAGTGCAACGAATAGATTCCACAAACCTCACCTGAGTGGGCCCCTGCTTTCAAGGATGCCCTGACCTTCCCTGGAAAATGTAGAGGTTTCAACGTCTTGCTTCAATAAATCACTTGCCCTGCACGTCCCGCTTGTCTTGTTTCATCCCAGTCTCTGGCCGTGGGTGGGGCATCATGAGGGGGCCTTGGGTGGTGACCACAGAGCATCACGCTGACCCGATGGGCAGTGACCTGGTGTCTGAGGGCACGGATCACAGAGGGAATGTTGGCTCAGGGCCTGGCCCGCATCTCTGCACAGGCCTCCCAGGCCCAGGCCCTGCATGAGCCACGCAGGCTCCCGCACCTCCATCCCCGAGGGGCCCACGCAGCCAGCCGCACACCTGAGAGCTCAGACTTGTTTCCAGCGGCTGCGGCCAGGCCCACGGTGCACTGTGGTCAGGGGAGTCTGTCCCAGGGGCCAGGACAGGGGGCTGCGGTCTGTCACTCTCTGCCCAGACCCCAGGGTGCGGAGGCCCTGCTGCCTGGGTAAGTCCAGGGGGCAGCTCTTCCTGGCGGCTTCCCGCTGGGGGCGGATGCAGTCCCTGTCTGGCTGCATGGGCTCCAGGGCCCCCCTGAGCTGCCACTGAGCCTCCTTCCTGTGAAACCTCTGCTCCTCCTGCCCCACATGTGGGACGGCAGAGAGCAGGCCCAGGGAATCCAGGGTGGTCGCCCACACTCAGAATCTGCACCTTTATCGCAGCTGCAAAGTCCCCCCCCCTGGGGGTGGAGCTGCCCTCCCTGCAATGCGCCTGGGCATCCACACCACAGTGACCCCCCATAGGAGGGGGAACCAGCCCTTCTTCTGCACCTGAGAGCCTAGGCCAATGGTCGGCAAACTCGTTAGTCAACAGAGACAAATGTCAACAGTACAAGGATTGGAATTTCTTTTGAGAGCCAAATTTTTTAAACTTAAACTATATAGGTAGGTACATTTTATTAACTTAATTAGGGTACTTCTAAGGCTTAGGAAGAGCCACACTCAAGGGGCCAAAGAGCCGAATGTGTTTTGCGAGCCGCAGTTTGCTGACCATGGGCCATGGTCCCCCGTGTTTCCAGGAAGAGGACGTCTCATTCGTCCTCAGCATCTCCCATGATGAAGGGCTCGTGATGCCCACATGGCTGAGAGCATAGCCGATGGTGCCAGGTTATCAGTGATGCCCCTCCGGCCACAGTGAGTGTGTGTGTGTCACATCGGGAAACACACTCAGTTGCCTCTTTTCTGAAGCACATGATGTGCTCAGTCTACAGCCTGTGCTCGGTGGACGCAGGATTCTAGAGCTCTTGCCACAGCCTGAGAGACAAGGCTGGGGTCCCACCAGGAGGACCAAGGCCCCGCTGGTGCTGCTCACGGGGCCTCGCATGACCCGTGCCTGCACCCTCTGACCATCTCCCTGCCCGGCCCGGATCTGTGCTCAGCCATCCTTGTCTATATGCCACTCACGCAGGTGGTACGTTGGGTCACACCCCCACACGTGGACATGTCGGGGTCCCTCTGCCTCCACATAGCTCCCTGCACAGAACAGGTGACCACCTCCTCTGTGTGGTTCATTCCATGTCTCACCCCTAAAATAAACCTTTATGCACAGACACACAATTTATACTTAGCGACACTCACAGTGATACACATATTTACGCACACACAGACCTCCCCCTGAGACATGTATAATGAGACTCGCATGTATACACACACAAAAACACATATTGACATGCACGCACACAGACAAGCACACAGGCAGACAGGCACATAGCAAGGCATATACATACAGAAGATATGCATACAGAGAGACATGCACATAGCAGACACATGCACACACAGGCATAGTGAGCCATCTGCGCTCCCTGTGTCTGTCTGCGATGTGGTAGTCACATCACAGAGTGGTTGTGAGAACACAGTGAATACATTCACAGTAAGAAGGACAAGTGGTGTCACCCATTGCTGTGAGTTGTAAACTGCCTCAGAGTTTGCCAGCAGCCAGCAGCCCCTGGGCGGACGGGGTCCGAGGGGTCACAGTCCTGCCTCCCATTTCCCAGTGACTGGTCTCCAGGAAGGTGAGGGCCGTCACCGCCACTGGACATAGGGATGAAGCATGTGCTCCCATGGCCCCTGCCACCTGGCTCAGATCCTCTCAGAACCGGCCAGGAAGACTCAGAAGCAGGGATGCCCCCACCCCGCCTAGGACCAAGGTGTGGGATCAATTTGAGGAGAGCCCAGGTGGTCCCCAGGCCTCAGCTCCCTCTTGAAGGGTGGCCCCCAGTGTCTGGAAGGTGGGGCCCACTGACCTAGGGGGACAGCAAGGCTGTGCCTGAGGGTGAGCAGCTTCCAGCACAGCAGAAGCCCGGGGACCCTGCCCTCGGCCCCCAGCCCTGTCCTCAGGCTCAGCCAGCCCAGCAGCTGCAGGCCCGTCCTCACTCCCAGGCTCTGCCACTGAGACCAGGTCTGCACAGGCCTTTGCTCCTGAGCTGCTGACCGAGGGGGAGGGGGCCACAGGCTGTACAGGCGGGGCTGGGGGTTGGGGGAGGTGACTCTTTAATGGGGGAGCTCCTGTTAGGGGTGAACCTGGACTGGACAGTGGTGACATAAAGACGGTGCATGCAGCAATGCTATGAATTTTACACGCAAATAAGGTGAAATGGGAAATTGTATGCTGTGTGTGTTTGACCAGACACACAGGGAAAGCCTCCCACACCTGAGGGCTCCGAGAGGCGGAGCAAAGACACCTGGAAGCGGGAGCAGGGCCTGCATCCCACCCCATACACCCTCCGGGCTGTCCACCCCTCACGTCAGGCCATGTCTGCTGTCAACTCCCTGCTCCTCTCTGGATGAGGTGGTGCTCTCCCCTCTCTCACCCTCTCATCTCCTCTCTGCACCCACTAACCCTCCATGATGGCTCAGTGTTCCCAGCCCTAAGCACTGGCTTTGGCATCTGCCCACTTGAAGCAAACTTTTGTGTGTGTGTGTGTGTGTGTGTGTGTGTGTTGGAGGTATTAATTCTTTTTTAAAATTTTAAATTAAATCTTTATTGTTCAGATTATTACAGTTGTTCCTCTTTCTTTCCTCTATAGCTCCCCTCCACCCGGTTCCCACCCCACCCTCTGCCCCTAACCCCTGCCCCCACAAGTGTCCTCATCCATAGGTGTACGATTTTTTTCCAGTCTCTTCCCACACCTCCCACACCCCTTTTACCCTGAGAATTGTCAGTCCACTCCCATTCTATGCCCCTGATTCTATTATATTCACCAGTTTATTCTGTTCATCAAATATTTTCT